CAGCCAGAGGCGCGCAGGCTGGGCGCTAGTCTCGCCGGGGGGAAGGGGACGCCCCTCGCCCCCCTCCTGCTCTCATCAAGTGAACGGAGCTCTCAGGGGAGCGGCGAGGAAGGGAACAGGTGGGGGCAGGCGGATTTCTCCCCAGACAGAACTAAATCCGTGAAAAGGAAAGAGTAGGGGGGGCCCGCGTGGAGGGAGACGGCTAGTTAATGGCCAGCCCTCAGCTCTCTGCATACATACCTGGGACTTCATCTGAATGGGGGACGGGAGTGGTACATGCGGGCAGCCAGGTGGCCCAGGGGTGGAGGTTGGGGACAGAAGGAGGAGGGTTGGTGGATCTGGGCACATGAAAAGACTGAGGGTGGAGTTCTGAGCAGAAGGCCAGGGGGGTCAGGGAACACATCTGAGGAGGTCCTCCCATCTGGCCATGACCCCCCACACCTGATAGAAGCCTGAGTGGAGAGGGGAAACACTGGGGTGAGGCGGTGAGCCGGGGTCTTCACATCTGGCCCGAGGCCCACATCTGGAAGGCTTTAGGGAGGAGAGGACACATCTGGGCTGAAGGCCACAGCAGGAGGGGGACTTTGGAGGGTGGTTAAGACTGGGGGTGGGGTGGGGGTGTGTGTGCTTGCCCAAGGCCCGAGAGGGAGCCGGAGCAGGAAGGGGGTGGGCTTGGTCCCCAGTCGCCTAAAATCATGGGCATTCGGTGCCCGGGCAGGCGCCAACCCGCACAATCGCTTTTGTTGTCTGGACTGGTTCGGGCCTTGCTCCCTGCCCGGCCAGCGCCCCCCTCTTCAGCCGCTGGGGGCCCGGACGCCTGGCTTCCCGGCCCCACCCCCTCGGGTCAGCGCCTCTGGCCAGCGTCTGGCCCTGTCCTGGGCTCACCTCGAGCGGCCGGACGCCGGGGTCCCTGGAGGGGGCTTCGTCCTAGAGGGTGGGGGGAAGTGAGGGGCTGAGCTCCGGTGGAGGCGGGTAGGGGGCAGCTAGACCGTGGGAACCAGACGGCTTTATCTGGGCCGGAACACCCCCCTCCCAGCGCCCCGCCCCACGGCGGCGGAGGAAGGGCGGGTGTCTTACCGCGGGCCTGGCCGGCAGGGGCGCGCTCCGATG